AAAGACATAAAACACTCGACAAATGGTTCACCGAGTGTAACACTCGGCGAACAGCACTCGCCAAAAACAGTGACGGCAAAGCCAATTTTGCCGAGTGTCTTTTATCGGGCACTCGGCAAAGCCTTTACCGAGTGCCCGACACTCGGCAAAGTTGAAACCGAAAAAAACCTGAAAAAAATGGGAATTTTTATCAAAAAAAAATGGATTTTTTTTTATTGATGGAGGCCCCCACCAGCCAGCGCCCACCAATCTCCAACATTTTTCGCGTGAATTTCATGGCTACATGGTCGACGCGATTCGAACCCGAGATCTCCCGCTGTGCACATACCTCCTCTACCACCACACCACACTCTCACTTGTGTCTGGATTCCGTTTTAGTTCCCAATATATTATACTAAACCGAGTGTAAATTGCATGTTTGAGGCCCTAAACGAATTTAAATAAAAAAGTTGTAAACTACAAAGTTTCATAACTTTTCGAGATCTACACTTTTAGTTTACGAAGTTTTTCCATCCGAGGTCGTTTACAAAATTTGAATTTTAAAATTTTGAAATTCAAACACAGTTTTGCATGACAAGATGTTTTCAAATCAAAAAGTTGTAAACTACAAAGTTTCATAACTTTTCGAGATCTACACTTTTAGTTTAGTAAGTTTTTCCATCCGAGGTCGTTTACAAAATTTGAATTTTAAAATTTTGAAATTCAAACACAGTTTTGCATGACAAGATGTTTTCAAATCAAAAAGTTGTCAACTACAATGTTTCATAACTTTTCGAGATCTAGAGAGTTTATTTTGGTTGTTTTTTCATCCGAGGTCGTTTGAAAAGTTCGAATTTTAAATTTTGAAATTCAAACGTAGTTTTGCATGACAAGATGTTTTCAAATCAAAAAGTTGCCAATTACAAAGTTTCATAACTTTTCGAGATCTATAAAGTTTATTTTGGTTGTTTGATCATCTATTCATCCGACATGGTCATTCTAACATTGTTCACAAATCTTATATATCTCTCTTGTAATTTCATAAACTACAAGAGAGATATGTTAGATTTGTGAACAAATTTATTTTCACTTTGTCGTATGAAGAAAAGACCAAAACAAACATTGTACATCTTGATGAGTTATACAACTTTGTAGTTGAAAACTTTTTCATTTGAATTAATTTACTGCTTCAAAATGTGCTTTGAAATTTTCTTTGCCGAGTGTAAAAAAAATAACACTCGGCAAAGAAGCTCTTTGCCGAGTGTCAAAAAAAAACACTCGGCAAAGAGCCACTTTGCCGAGTGTCAAAAACAACACTCGGCAAAGGCGTCTTTACCGAGTGCCTGAAAAACAACACTCGGCAAACCACCTGGCACTCGGCCAAGAGCCGGTCTCCGGTAGTGATAGCTAGAAGCAGTGCAAATGCTTTGCAAGATGGTGTCTGGTGAACGCAGCCCGCCCGTGTTTGCGTACTGATGCATTGCAAGTTAGTTTGCTTGGGCCCATACAGGCACCAAAGGCCGAACTCAAAGCCCAGATCTACCCAACCCATCTCATAGCGTCGGCCCAGCCTCTCCGAACCCGCACCTCACCGTGGCAACTGGCACTGGCATTGCCATCTCAGAAATTCGATCACTATATATCAGATCAAGTTTAATAAAGTTGGCTATAAGTCAAACCAAGTCAGCAATAATCCTCTTTTGATCTCGCTACAGTGGCCTTGCTTCTCGCTTCTTCATCGGCAGCAGCGATAACGGCGGTCGGCGTGTTGTGCGGACGGCATCAGCGGGCATGGGGACGACGACAAGAGGGAAGCGCGCACGATGGCCGTTGGCTGGCACATGGACGAGCTGGGCGCTGCCGGTGTTGGGGGGAGGTACCCCGGCACCGCTCTTCCCCTAACCCTCGACCTGGCGCTGGCTCAAACTAACCCACCCTCGTCCTGGGTGCCACCCTAGCGGCGAGGGTGCCCTTGATTGGCTTACTTCATCTGTGTGTTCAGGTGGCGCGCCCGAAGGTCAGCTGCGCCGGAGGAGCGTGGCGGGAAGGTCATGAGACGATGACGGCGTGAGGACCCTCGCCGGGAGCGCGCGAAGGTTCGGCGCCCGCCGTGGAGGGGACCATCCCGGCAGCGGTGATGGCCTCGTCTGGGCGATTGGGCCCGGGAGTGGTTGGCTGAAGAAAGGAGACGCCGTACCCTTGGCTCTTTACAACATTTACCCGCTAGGGTCTAACCATAATGTAGTTCCACCGCATCTCCGAGTATGGCCTATAAATACCCGGAGCGCTCGTGTAAGGAGAGAACCATTTTTCCAGACAAATTAATGGGTGTTTAATCCGCATTTTTCCATCTCCTCGCTTCCCTATACCCTCGCTCATCCCTTTACGACAGTCTAGTCATTCACCAGAGGGAAACCCTCGGCCTCTCCCCCGTGTCCCTCAGCGGGGGTGAGGGGCTAGGAGTGACCCCATAGTTGGCGCCGTCCGTGGGGACCCCAGTCCGCCACTTCTCAAAAAACAATGGTAGCAACAAGAAGAAACACCCAAAGGGACCCGCCCCCACCGTGAGGGTTGGATCCGGTGGCGAGAACCTCCGCAAGTGGGGCCAACGAGGCTCTGATACTTCAACCCACCCTCAACCAACGATAACACAGCTCGAGTCAGATGGGGCTCTACCAGCCGAGGCCGGAGCCAACCCCCGACCCGAACCATCCAAGGTAGAAGAAACCGGCCATGTACCAGAAGACGGTGACGGCGACGAAGGTGCAGAGGCGAGAGGCCTCAAGGCCCTAAATCAAATGCACGAGGAACTCCAGGAGAAAAGATGTCGAGTCGAAGCCCACCAAAGGCAAGCACGCCTACAGGTGATAAGGCAGAAGGGGGACGAAGCCAGGGAACAACTCAGGCAAATGGATAAGTACCTAGCTTCGATCGAAGCTGACCCAAATTATCAACCCAAACAGTACGACTTACCACCTCCGCACCACCCAAACCCACCTCTGCTCCATCCAAACCCACCCCCTCCACCACCACCACCCCGTTTCCACCAGACCTACCCAGAATACATTCCCCAGCCATTCAACAACACCACAGAAACCAACCTCCACCAATGTGGTATGACCCAAAATCCCCATTGACCCAAATACTCCAAAGCAAAAACTGGCCGCTTGAGTACAAGCCACAGAACCTGCCAAGGTACGACGGAAGCATAGACCCTCACCAATTTGTGATGAGCTACGAAGCGACAGGGGCAGCAGTAGGCGGGGATGAGTATACCGTGGCGAAGTCCTTCGTAATTATAGCAAGGGACATTGCTCAAAGCTGGTACAGCAACCTCGATATTGCTATGGTTTATTTAGATGAGGCAAAAAAAACATCTAAGTCAGTCTGGATTTTTCTTTTAAAACTCAGATTTTGGTTCATACTTATTGGTTTAGGAATGTATAGATTTTAGACATTTGGTACAACGTACAGGCGTATTTGCTACATTACTGAATATAGAAGTTTTTTTTTCTTATGTCGCTTATATAAGCCTTCCTACAAATGTCAAACTAAATTCTTTTGCTTTAAAAAGGTACAACATGGTTTTCTAACAATTATGTAGAGACCATAAGACTAATATAGACATGTAGTTGCAATACTTAAAATGGGAGTTATGTTATCGTAACACACACTGACACTAAGATCAGTTATGAAAAACAATATCCTAGGAATAACTAAAGACCCTAATAAAACAGGTATGACGAGTATTGAAAGAAATAATAAATAAAGAAAATCTACTCCATTTAAAATATATCATGATTTTTTTTTAACCCGTAGCAACGCATGGGCAAATTTGCTAGTATATATATAAGAGTCAAAATTTCTACAGGTAAATTTGGTCCAGCCCAATCATCGAGTTCTCGGTCACCTGGTCGGTGTCCGTTTTTGTCCGTGTTCGTATTAGTACTGGTCGCGATGGAAAAAGATTATGGGGGAAAACATCAGTCAGGAATAATAAAAAACAGACCATCAAATAGAACACCAGCAGATAATTAACTTTATTAGAAAAAATGGTGCCACAGTTTCATATTTTTCTAATTTAATAAAATTAATTAATTATGATTTCTTAGAAAATAAAACCATTTTTTTATTTTCAGAAAATAACAACTATTGAAAGTTGGTACATGTTCGTCCAAGTTGATAAAAGGTTGAAAAATGAACCTTTTTTATGTTGTAACTCTAGAACCAACAAAACGGGCCGGGTATTGTTTATCCATTTCTGATTTCACTATGGCATGTTGTCTTGATCTTGATGGATTAACAATAATCAAGGTTCAAACAGAACGAATTCTCCAACCGATGCTGCTGGGAACCAGCGATGCCCAGTCTATTTTTTCCCTGAATGACACAGTACGTGGTAGTTGAGATATATATGTAGGTCGATCTCTTGATAAATGAATGTTATACGTCCGGAAAGGTAATACCCAGTGGTTCAATAATATTAATATTTATGCGAAACTGGGTCCGGAGAGGCGGAGACCAGCAGCCAGGTCTTTGTTTTCAAAATTTCGCTAAGCACTAGAAGATGCACGGTGAAGGCTTTTTATTTGTTAACATTAACATGAAGGAGATGGGAGCAGCTGAAGTGGGCTACACGCGCACATCGGAACGATGATGGAGCCCACGTGCAGCACGCCAAGACGAAGGAACTTTATTGGCCAATGGTGGTAGCTCTTCTCTCTCACTTTTCTCAGATCCAAACCTAAACCAGCGACGTGCTCGATCCATTCGCCGGCCGGTGAATACAGGGTCGGGATGGAGCAATTGTGGATTAATTGATTTACTGCCTGGTACGGAGTAAGATCGAAGAACACATGCTGGGTTGCTGTCTCGAGCTTAATTTTCAATTTGCCTTTTTCAATTGTGTGCAGGGATGAGTTTGACACTTACTTGAGGAGGTTATGATGTTGGATTAGATGTGAGCAGTGAAGGTTCCTCGATCTTACTTTGCCCGGTTCGTCGTACGGCGGGAGGGACTCATGGCGGATCCAGTTGGCACCACGAAGCAGGTTGTGAAGATAGTTCTTGCGATCAGGACGGCGGTGCAAACGGTTCGCCGGAACGAGGAGTGCCGTGAGATCGAGCAGCTCGCAACCAGAGTGAGTCGCATCCTGTCGCGGCTCCAGGAGACGGAGAGCGACCCCGCGATGGACGGTGCCATGGCGGAGCTGGAGAAGAGCCTCGACCGCGACCTCAAGCTCGTCACCACCTGCCAAAAGAGGAGCGCGATGCACCGTATCTGCGCGGCTGGGGCCATGGCCAGGCAGCTGCGCCGGGTGCAGGACGACATACTGCGGCAATTGATGCTGGGTGTCTTCGCCACCCCTACCCAGCTCACCCTAAGCCTGAACATGCTACAGCAGCCGGGTGCTGGTGCCCCTCCGCCGAGGTCCCAGCGGCCTTCCTCCCTTGGAGCAGGTAACATCGCTGGCGTCTTCTGCTGCCTCAGCTTCTGTTCGACTGTTCCTTCAACGTTTTGTTTCCTCGATCGGCAGAGGTACGAAATTCTAATTTCTCCCAGTTGGAGAGGAGGGCAGGCTTAAGAAAGTTTAGTTTGTCTGAATTACAGACCGCTACCGTTCACTTTTCAGAGGAGAACATCATTGCACGAGGTGGACATTCGACTGTCTACAGGGTACACTGCATGTGCTGAGTTTGGCAAATTTTCTTCGTGATTTTCGGATGATCATATATAGTCAGATTAATCGGCATAGCCATTTCCATTTTGCATTCCAACACTTTATACTTTGCAGGGTGCATTATATGACCGTTTGGTTGCTGTCAAAAAAAAAAAACAAGCGCCACGGGCCGCCACCACCGGCCGCCGCCCACCACTGAGCTGCCTCCCGCCGCCACGCCACGCCCGAGCTGCCTCCCGCTGCCACCACGCCCGAGCTGCTTCCCGCCGCCACCATCGAGCTGCCTCCCGCCGCCACCACACCCGCCACGCCACCACGCCCGAGCTGCCAGTGCCGAAGCTGGGGCCCGCCTCGACCATGACCACCTAACGGCCGGCCATCGCGCCCACCACCACGAAGCCCGCGCCCACCACCACAGAGTCTGCCGCCTCTCGCGGGGCCCCCAACGTGAGGCCTCGCCCCGCGAGTCCCCGCCGGATCCGGGGAGGAGGGGCGGTGTGGCGGCCGAATCCGGCCGTATCCGGGGAAGAGGGGCAGGGCGGCGGCCGAAGAAAGGGAGAGGAGGAGGGAGGCGTGGCCGGGAGAGAGGAGGGAGGGGGGCAGGGCGGAGGAGGAGAGGGAGGCGGGCGAAAAAGGGAAAGGTGGAGGGGGCGCAGCATGATTTGGAGAGAGAGGGAGGCGGGATGGTGCGGGAAAGGAGAAGGGAGGCGGGGCGGTGTGGAAAGGAGGACGGCCGGGGAGTTATAGCAAAATTTCTTTGCTGAGTGTTCTAGATCTGAGCACTGGGCAAAGTTTTTTCTTTATTTTTTTTCTTCTCCTTCTTTTCCAGAAAAAATATTTTATTTCTTTGCCGAGTGTTCTAGATCTGAGCACTCGGCAAAGTTTTTTTTTTATTTTTTTTCTTCTTCTTTTCCAGAAAAAAGATTTTATTTTTTTGCCGAGTGTTTTTTTGATACTCGGCAAACCTTCTCTTTGCCGAGTGTTTTTTTTTGACTCTCGGCAAACCCCCTCTTTGCCGAGTGTTTTTTTTGCCGAGTGTTTTTAGCGCAGCACTCGGCAAAGAACTTGTTCGCCGAGTGCCCGAGGGAATATACTCGGCAAACATAAAAACACTCGGCAAACTTGAGGATTATGGTAGTGACTTCACTGTTCACACACATCGGCACCAATTGTCTCTTAATTATGTTGTCTTTAGAAGATTGGTAGTTGTTTACTAGTAATGATTTATCATGTATGTTCTGCAGGGTCGTCTCGACTTCATTGGTCTTCCGTGTTTCAGATAATTCAGGGGATAGCCCATGGAGTAAAAATCCGTCATGACCGATTCATTGTGCATTTGGATTTAAAACCAAGCAACGTCCTCTTGGATTCTGATTTCAATCCCAAGATTGCTGATTTTGGAGTAGCTAGAGAGTTGAATCTCAGAGGGAATGAGTACTTTGACGACAACTTTGTTGCTGGCACAATGTAAGATGTCATTCCAAATAGATTTCAACGAATTCAGAAAGCTACACTTACGTAACTTTTAGCATAACTACAGCTGCCGCTCTTTCGCAGTTTTACTGTATTCCATTACCCGGCCTTCATCCATATTCCATGACATGCATTCCTGTTTTAACGAAAGGTTTTATATTCCTCCACTAATTCAGAGGATATATGGCTCCTGAATATTATGTCGGTCGGCCTGCGCATTCAATGTCGAAACCTGAATATTATGGTGACCGTTGGCTTACGCCTTCAATGTCGGAAGGGGCGTCATTGATGAAGAGAGACGTGTATGGTTTCGGTGCCACCCTCCTTGATATCCTCAGCGGTATGTGCATATCGGAAGCTGCTCGTCGCCAACCTTCACTTGAATGGGTAAGTTACACAACCTATTTGATTTAGTCCTCCATGAGAAATTGACCGTAAAATGGACTGATTCAAATATTTCAGATATAAAAATCACGTCCATTAGTATTCTCTCATACACGCACCTTGGGAGGAAGAAGAGTGACCAAAAAAAAAGTGAATGGTAATAAATTGGACTATTAAATTGTACTCCCTCCATTTAAAATTATAAGACGATTTAGCTTTTCTAGATACGTTGTATTTGTCTTTTCTAGACATAGTAAAAGTAATGTATCTAAAAAAGTCAAAACGCCTTATAATTTGAAACAGATTTAGTATGCCACTGGAATCACTAAACTTTTGTCCCGCATAAAAACGACCCTTTTGTTTTCCTCAATAGATATATTTTTGAGACAGCCGAACTGAATAACAGGATTTACACTATGAAATGGTGTAAGTACTAAAGTATACTTTATTATGGCTACATATGCTACAGAATATGCTAAATGATGTCATTTTCCTGTGAGACACAAAAAAAAAGTAATTTGATGGCGGACAATATGACTGTTTCAATTTGCTACCAGACATGATTTAGCGCGCCACCAGCAAAATGTTCAAAAAATTTAGTGTTGTCAGCCAGCTAATTTATAGTGTCCGCCAGCAAAATACTTTTCGTTCATTTTTGTCCCACATAAAAAAAACGATATCATTTTGCATGTCCTATAGCAAATTTTCTCCTTTATCACCTGTATTGTGTTTTGTTCTCAGGCTTGGAACGTGCAGCAAGCTTCACGAATGAATTTTCTTAAGAACAATACTCGACAAATGGAGAAGTTATTTGATCCGTCATTGTGTGAAAACAGTGATCTAAAGATGATACGAAGATGCATTGGGATAGGACTTTTGTGTACACAAGAGAAGCCGAACGACCGGCCCACCATGTGGGAGATTCTTGATATGCTAGATAGGAAATAGCCTCCCCCGACAATATTAATACAAGGATATCAAATGAAATAGCCTCCCCCGACAGATTGTGCGTAGTACCAATTTGAAAAATGAACCCTTTTTTTTTGTTCTAACTCAGAGCATAATTTTCAATTTGCCTTTTTCAATTGTGTGCAGGGATGAGTACATATGCACAAAGCTATTTGAAATACACACTTCTGCGGTTATGACAATCTTAAGTTGAAACTATACACAAAGCTATGTTCCACTGTGTAGACTAAGGAAGCATGTATACATTAGGATAAATATTTATTTTATAAGCTTATCAAGCGTGGAAAAATATCATTAGCAAATCATATAGTAATGACACTTACACTTCACTTTAAGTTATATAATAACTCATGCAAGTGGTTAGCTCGAAAAAAGTTTAAACAATTTGTTTGGAACATTATATCATATGAGTATTAGTAATTTAATTCCAAGGATTATTAGTTTAATAAAACAATATTAATACAATATAATAAATTAAACATCTTGAGTGCCATGGTGCATACTGAAAACAACTATTTATGCCATCGTAAGAACTAAGAGGGTAGCCTATGACCAAAGAATATTCTTTTCAAAATAAAAAAATGAAAACTTTGAATAAGCAATGCAATAAGCATTGGAATTTTAAATTAACACGTGATCAAAAGCTGAAAGTTAAAATATAGTTTTTTATGATATCACATAAAGTGATAAAGTTTACATAGTTTCAGTTTATGTTTGAACTAAACACATATGGTGCTAGAGAAAAACATTAATCCTAGAAATTATTACTCATGAAACCACTAGAAATAAAAAAGATAGATCCTAAAATTCTTACAAAAACCTAAAACATTTTGCAATCAAATTGGTAGACTATAATCACCATTGTAAATAATAGTCACTACTACACAAAGGAGGCGGGCCAAATTGATTAACGGAGGCGTGCATTACAACCGCCTCCAATCAAAGGTCACCATTAATACGAATTAACCAAGGCGATAGATGTCCGCCTCTATTAATCCTATTAACCGAGCCAGGTGTCTTAACATGCCCGCCTCCATTAATGTTCTTCAGAAAATCGAAAAAATAAAAAATCTTGCGATTTTGGAGAGTCAAACACATGACTTGTTATTCAGTAGCAATATCTCTCTACCACTATACCACACACTCATTTTTTATTATATATAATATGCTATCTTTTATATCAATATTTTATAATCTTATATTGGATATTTTGGCTACTAAATGAACTCGAATGAAAAAACCTCTAACTACAAAGTTTTAAATCTTATCAAGTACTACAACTTTGGTATAGTTTGAAAAATTCAAAAAATTGAGTCTCAAAACATGTGAATTTCAAACACATATTTGAGACTTTAGATGACTTTAAATAAAAAACTTAGTCAATATCGAACATGTAGATCAGGTCAGCTACAAGAACTTTGGTATTAACTATGTGAACATTTGAGATCGTTTAGGAATTCAAAATTTTAAATTTTAAAATCTATAACCTTCGAACACATATTTCAGAATCTAAACATCTTCAAATTAAAAACTTTTCAACTACAAAGTTGTAGATTCTATTGAGAACTATAACTTTTGTATAGACCATATCAACATGTGAGATCGTTTGATAATTTTAAATTTCAAAATCAGTGCACTTACAATAATATTTTGGGATCCTAAACAGTATCAATTAAAAAACTTTTCATCTACAAATTTGTAGATCTCATGGAGAGCTACAATTGTGATATAAAGTTTGTCTTCCTCCGCCACTGGTCCATGTCCTCCATTAATAGCTTTATCTTGCGCCATATCTCATACTTATTCTTGCTTTATCTACTGCAGGATGGGTTGCAAGAAGGTGGTTCGCCCTGAAGATGAGTCGGGTAATGGAGATGCTTCTCTGCCTCGCCCCAAGAGAGCGAAGCAGCCCACTGCTAAGCCTCCACACAACAAGCGCAAGGTGTCAGCAGGACATGGCAAGAACTCCTTCCGCAAAGCAGCGGATGACTTGTACTTGCCCAATGTGGATGTCCAGTTGGTTCCTGTGACTGAGCAATTGTTCACCCATCCGGGCGATCGGCGTTTTATGGATGACGTTCATCCGCCTCGCCCTAAGGACTATTTTAGCAACCAAGGAGAGGTCTTTGGCAAAAGGTTTGAATGTCCATCTGAATCTCAAGATGCTGATTTTTGTGATCCTCGCTTTGGGACTGTCTTTCAGCTGGACTACTATGATTCAGTGATCCTTTCCAAGAGTCAGCCAGTGGTTTTACAGAAGTACATTGATTGGGATCATTGTGTCAAATTGGGTTATCCTGAGATGACTAGAGCTCTTGAAATGTTGGAAAGGTGTAATTTCAAGAATCTCATGACCATGCAGTATCTGTGGAGCAATGAGGTCATTGCACAGTTCTTTGCTACTGATTGGTATGAGAAGGCCACAGCTGATCATTATGGTTATATGCATTTCTCCATTGAAGGTCAGCCCTATTATGTCTCTTATGCTCGCTTTGGCAAAATTCTTGGATTTGAGTTTGATGACATAGACAAACATCGGCTTAATTGCAACCCTCACCGTGACATTGATCTCTCTTTTGCTTACAATGAGGATGCTACTGCCGATGACTTATACACTATCAACAACATGAGAAAGGTTTATCGCTATTTTAATTTGTTGGTCCGGCAAACTTTGGTTCCCAAGATTGGTGGTGCTTCAGTGATTTTATCTTCTATGGGTCCCTTCTTGAAAGCTTTTCAGGAGGGTAATGAGGAGGATTTCAGTGCTTTTGGCTTCATTTATAGGCAGATTCAGTTGACATCTTGGGATCCTAAGAAGTCTTGTACTCATGCTCCCTATATCATGAAGATGATTGAGGTACTCACTCAGAAGGAGTTCATCAAAGAAGTGAGCCATGAGCCTTACTGACCTGTGAGAATTAGTGAGACAGCAAAGAGGAGAGGCCGCAAGCCCAGTCAACCTCGGTCTCAGTCTGTGCCTTTGCCTTCCTCCTGTGCCACAGCTGCAGCTTATCCTGAAGACGTCCAAGGTCTTCTCTTGCAGGGTATGAGCTCTGTGTTTGGGATGTCCATGGCCATCTATGAGGCCAACAGAGAGCACCACAGGTTTGTCCAGGAGGAGCTTCATCGCGCTGAGGTCCAGCGCAAGATGATTGCCGAGCACGTAGGTGTGACTTGGTCCCCAGTTCGTCCTCTACCTCCAGCACCTCAGCAACCCGAATGGTGGAATCCGTTGTTTCAGCAGTCTTTTGTGCAGCCACAGCAGACACAGTTTGACACCGACGAGCAGCCATAGGCCTCGTCCCATGTTCAGCAGGGTGTTGGTGGCACCGACGAGCAGTCTGTGCCTTTGCCTTCCTTCTATGTTGTCATCGTCGTCATTGCCTAGAAGTAATATCTCAAGCATTGCTATGTCCTTGGCATTTACCACCACATCTCCATCGACCTCGTCATCAACCGTTTCGTTGTCTACTTCCATTTCGATTGCTTCGGGTAAGACTATCTCAAACATGCCTGGTAGCCCATCTTCTTGATAGAACTGTCCATCATATGTGTTTGCGTTGAAGTTGTAATCATCATCGTTTGGGGCAGGTAGTTTACCATGTGGAGATACCTGGTGCACAATAGCCCAACCCTTAAGATCCTCTTTGTCTTGGTTGGCGTATCGAGTATAATACACCTGCATGGCCTATTGAGCCACAATGTAGACATCTTTTGCAGGATAGATGGAATCTTCTCGAATCTCGACTAGCCCAAGATGAGGGGTTCGTCTCGTTGATCGAGGATTAAACCAGTGGCATTTGAACATGACAGGTTTAAGAGGTTCATCTCCATGAAATGAGAGTTCATAGATTTCCTCAACTCTACCATGATAGTCGAGGCCATCAGTGCCAGGCGTACAAACTCCGCTATTTGTGGTTTTTTGTTTGGGCCGAATCTGCTCGTAACTTGTTGTGTGGAAGCGATATCCGTTCACATCATAGCCGGTAAATGACTTCACCCTAACGTCACAGCCGTTTGCAACCTATTTCAGCTCGTCGCTCATGGACAAATCGGTCTGGGCCTGCAAGGTGAATCATGATAGATCGTTATATTAATCAAACGTACGATCACCTTGGACGATCAAACGTACGAGCTAAATTGGACATTACCTTTTGTTTGAACCAAGAAATGAAATCAGGCCTCCCCGCTCCCGCACCTCGCGAAACAAGGGTGTCTTGTTCATGCGAGGTAGGATCCCTTGATTGATGCCAGAATTCACGAACAAATTCCCTGTCTGAACAAGAATCAATGGAGTTGGATGCAGAATAGTGACAGCATATTGAAATAAGTTCGTTGAGAACTTACTTGATGAACGGCTGCACCTCGGTAAGGTTATTCAACACATATAGCATGATACTGCGCCACTCTTCATTTCCCAATAGCTTTGGGGTTGATCCACTTGCACTGCCGAGTTGGCATTGGAAAAGGCTCAGGGTCGATTCATTTTCGCCAGTATTGTAACGAGGGGGTGGATTATGATTGCTAGGAAGGTTCGACTTGTAGTATAGCGTTGTGAAGTTTGCCACCTCCTCCCAAAGGCATGCCTCTGCAATGGAAGCCTCAATTATGGCTTTATTTGTACATTTTTTGCGAAGAGTCTTTAGACATCTCTCGATTGGATAGCACCAACGGACCTGCATGGGCCCCCCCAAACATGCCTCGGACGGGAGGTGCACAATCAGATGTTGCATCGGCAAGAAGAAGCCGGGTGGAAAGATCTTCTCCAGCTTATAGAGCAACATAGGTGCCGCTTTTTCCAAGTCCTGAGCGACGGTCCGAGATATCTCCTTGGCACAAAGCTGGCGGAAGAAAAAGCTCAACTCTGCCGGCACTTGCCAGACATGCTCAGGGACATAGCCTCGGACCATCGCTGGAAGAACCCGCTCAATCCATATGTGGTAGTCATGACTCTTCATCTCGTTGACTCACAGAGTGCC